ATTTCTGAAATGGTACTCAAAATATCCCAAGGGCACACTTCACAAGTTTTCAGTCCTTAGCTGCCAAATGACAACATTTACATTGAAAGCCTTAGTTAGTCTCAATGTGAAGTTTGGTTCAAAGCAGATCTGCACAGTTGAGGTGCCAAGTAAAAGTCCCTCTTCACTGTGACATCAAACACTCCCAGGGCTGGTCTACCACACATGCCCAAAAATGTTACGTCTTGCCTCTCTGATACAGCTGCTCATCTGGTCGACAAGGATGGATCTTAGAAAGTCATTTATTTTCCTCCAAGATCTATTGCACATTTAAAATAGCAAGAAGAACATTTCAACACTCTTACCCCACTAGGTGTCGCTTCAGAGAAAAGGTTACATCACCTAGCATTGTGTATGGGAGAATCAGGAATGAGGGGTCACTTTTTAAAAATCTGACATCTCTCATTTAAAACAGAAATGAGGTGAAATGCTTTTCTCATAGGGTGTCGTAAGTCTTTGGAAATCTTCCTGAAATCGCGGTGGAAATGAGGTCTACAAAACAGAGGTAGTTAGATTCTTGATAAGGAAGGGTGAAAGGTTATCAGCTTATAGCCTATAAGGAGGACGTGAAGTTGTGACCAAATCAGCTATGATCTCATTGAATGTCACAACAGGTTTGAGGAACTGGATGGCATACTCCTAGTCTGTTTGTATGTTGTAGTGAAACAAACGAATTCTAATCCTTTAAGTTTTTAGCATCAGTCACAGGATGGTGCCATAGCATGACATGAAAATATCTCAAGGAAAAGCAAATAAATAGTCCTCAGCTGGGGAGACAGAGCAATTCCTGTGACTTACTACCCATGCCTTTTGATGCCAAGTAGAATCAGCTTAGATCAAGGTCTGCTCCACTCACCAGCCCTTTCTATCTGATTGTCACTGTTTCCTACCCACATTCTCTTTTCACTATTTGGTTAAATTCCTGCTGCGTTATTCTGCCAACCACTGCAAGCTACCCCAGATCAATCTCTGGAAACCTACACACATCGTTGGTGATATCAGGATGGAGAGAGCAAGTTTTGGTGCTATTTCTGCCTCGCCCTGCCAACCTATGCTGTGGTAACCTTGGATTTAATTAATTTTCCCCAGCAAAGTCCTATGCTCTAAGTCATTAACTTTACCGCTTGAAGCTCTAATCTTTAATTAATTTACTTGGCTGAAGTTCCATGGTCTTTATTTAACTGATCTATCAAATGGCCTTTAACATAAACTGCAATTGAATCAACTATTTCATGCTGCATTCCCAATCATTCTCCAAAGTTTCAGTGAACACCCATCTTCGTTGACTTCTTTTTCTCAGTCCCACACTTACTTTCACCCACTCCATTCTAATCACGGGCAAATGGTGGCTCAGTCGTTAGCACTGCTGCTTCCCAGCACCAGGGACCTGGGTTCGATTCCAGCCTCGGGCGACTGTCTGTGTGGAGTTTCCACGTTCTCCCCATGCCTGTGTGTCCAGAGGTGTGCAGGTTAGGTGGATTGGCCATGCGAAATTGCCTATAGTGTCCAGGGAAGTGTAGGCCTAGCCTGCTTCCAAGTTGTAGGGATTCTATGATTGTCTCATCCTCATGCCTTGTTCACCATCGCTGGACCCGTCCAAGCACCCCACCTCTCAGTCTTCTCTGACCCTGAAATTATGGTTTCATAGAATTTGCTGGGCCATTTCAGAGGGCACTTGAGAGTCAAATACATTGCTGTGAGTCCCAGAGCCCCTGTTCTCCACCCCTCCGGTTTCCAAAGTTGGAAGGTCCAAGAGAGGCAGATTGCAGACATGCAAATAGAGAGCCACAGATGAGACAAGTAATAGAGAGAAATGGAGAAAAATACCAAAATAGCAGGTGAGACAGAGCAGAGCAGTGACTTAAAGAGAGGCACACACAAAGTGATAGAGAAATGAGGGCGAATAGTGCAATGATGATGTGATATGGGCCTCTGCCCACTCAGTACACATCTCTAAACTGTTTGCCAATGAACTGCAATCCATTGTCCTCTAAGAGAGCTACACTTTGAGCTCCTTTTATTTCCACTGAGAACCAGCAGACCCTCAGAGTTTTATTTTGAAGAGAGAAAAGGGTAGAGTGCTCAATGTGTAACCTTTAATTTTACTCGTATTTGTAATTTCGCCCCTTAAATTTTCAAATAACAGCAATGTTATAAGTTCCTGGCATTTTGCAGAAACTTTGATTTCATTAAAATATAAATCGGTTCTGCCTTCTGACTGGTGAAAGCTCTAACTGTAGTTCCATTTGTACTCTCAGAAACCAATGCTGCCCTTGGTTCAAATTCTCTGATTTCAAATTCTTATATTTGTTGTCCCATTGGTCTGCAATTATCCCACCAAGATCTTGGTCTTTTCATTATTAATGGCCAACACTGCCAATCATGATGTCTGTTTTACCTCCAGCAGGGAATTTTTACTTGTTGCGGCAATACATACATTACTTCCCCAATGTAAGAAACCAAGTATGGTTAATGTGGTGTGGGAGAATTCAACAACCCTTTATACAGGTCACTCATACCTAAAAATATTCAATTCACAGGTGCATCAGTGTCTAGGCTCACATTTAGCAATAGGTTACAAAGACCAACACACATCAGCCAGTGTGCCATGCTTCAAGTGATTGGTGGTAAGATGAAGCATGAGATCTTTATTCCCTCTGATCACATGTTATGATGCAGTTATGCTTTGACATGATGATAAGTATATCTCTTACAGGTACACACACACACACACACACACAAACTACAAAAATGTTGATTGACACAGACAGAAAAATGAACTTTACATGGTTGGAGTCAAAATAAAGATGAGGGTGTATACATCCATTTCCATGCTCTTGCAATGGGTTTTAAAATCTTCTGAGAACCTGTGACAATTTAGAAACTGATTTTTTTCTCTTCTGTATCAAGCCACAGAAGAAGACTCAGTCTTGACATCCAGTCCTTTATGGCTACACACAAGAAAATCAGGTGTTCCGAGTTAAAAATGCTGCTTCCTTAAGACAGTGGGACCCCAGACAATTACTGTGGCTTGGAAAATAAACAGAGGCAAGGAAGGGAAGAGTGTGAAAAAAGGATTCATCAGCCCAAAAAAAAGTGACACGTCAATTCCATGGTGTTTTTACGTTTGTTACAAGCCATCAGATCACTCAGAAAAGCCTCCTTGTGCACAATGAATAACCCTTGAAGTGCAACAATCTGTGTTACCAAATTGAGCACGAGGATCCATTTGCTATGTTGTAAAATCTCTCAAACTGGACCTGGAACTGCCGATCCCTGATGGCTCTGAGGGAGTACGTTCATCATATTTAGTTCTTCTGTGTTTGAAGAATGAATTTGTTTACTTTTGATGCCCACTGTGCTTGACTGCTTCAGACTGAGTGTAGACTCAGAGTTAAAAGTAAACAAGGAGTCGAAAGAGGTCTGACTTAAAAGCTAGAGTCGACATGTTAGTGAACAGCAAGACGCACTTCAGATCTAAAGTCTTCGCCTCATAGATCTGAGATACAATATGTATAACACCATACATTGTGAATTATTCTCATGGACAACCTCAGATGGACAATAAATGTTGGTCTCGCCAGCTGGGTCCACATCTCGCTCACAAGTTCCTTCCTAAATGAAGCAGATGGTAATGTTGCCCAAGGGACGAATATTGGCCGGGTTCTTTATCCAAATAGCTTCATGATATAATTCGAAGGAGTAAAGAAGCAATACAAATTTAAAGAGGAGATGAATCAGTACTGATGCCAGATCCTGCTGTTTCGTGCCAAAGTATTTGAAATGTGACTTTCTCCCAAAATAAATGGTAGATTTTCCTGCATGCCGCTTTTCTGAACCACTGACGTACTGAGCACTGTTGGAGTATGAAACTTCGCAAACCAACATAAGGAGCATTAGGTTCATGCTTCAGGAGGAAAAGATGCATTTTTTAAATAAAAAGAAGAGATTAGTTTCATGGTGAAGTACATATTCATGTATCAATTGAACAGGCAGAAACCACTGTCCCACTGGGAATAAATTGAAAATGAACTGCACATTCCAAGTAATATGTAGCATAAAAACAGACAGTAAAGCCAAATAAAATCTAATTATGTTTCAATCTGTGTCCAATTCAGCTTAAATTGAAAATCCATAGAGTGCATTTAGGCTAACACTTACAACTAAGTAATGGCATCAACTTACAGTAATGGTACAATTTAAATGAGCACAATATCTGCACAAAATCTGGGCAAGGGATCAGCAATGGTTGAGGTTTCAATGATTTGATCGTGTCTGCTGAAAATGACAACACAAAGCACTGTGCACCAATACAAATCCTGTATATGTCTCTTCATCTACATTTATGGCATAGGTTATATTAGACAAATCCAAAATCATGATAATCTGAGCAGCAATTATTTTTTAAACTGAAAACACACTACAGAAAGAATTAAAAATAACAAGGTGTGGAGCAGGATG